ACTGCAGCGCCCCTCCTGGCTTCTCCAAGTTGACGGTCATATAGTAAGATGTGCACATTTATTTATTTTAAATATAATAATTCTTCTATCAGGTTTTCAAAGGAAACAGATAAATAAAATATATGTAAAAAAAAATAATTAAAAACTCAGAAACATCAGGTAGATCCATCCAGTAGCGTACACATGATCCATGGGGCCCCGGTGTGAAAACTGATCCGTGAGCCCATTGAGTAATGCTTTACTATGGGCGGTTTGAATGCACGCGCGACTCTCGCCGCACATTCGCATTCAGAGCTGAGAGGCAGATCGGGGCGGAGAGATCTCCAGCGCCAAGAGAGCCGGGCGCTGAAGGGGTTTTAATCACACACACTCTCACGAACAGACGCATACACACAAGCTAACACACACACACTCACTGACAGACACACACAAACTAACACACTCACACTGACCCTCACTAGCAGACACACACACACAGTAACACACAAAAACTGACACACTAGTAGACAAACACACACAAAAATTAAGACACACATTTTTTTTTATTTAAATTTAATCCTCCAGCCTCCCTACCTCTGGGAGTGCAGAGGGGATTCCCTGGGGTCCAGTGGGGCTGCCCGGTGTCCGGTCCTGCAGGCGCGCACTGATGCTGGAGCCGGAATATGACGTCATTCCGGCTCCGGCATCAGTAAGCGGCGCTGGTGGGCCGGGCCCGGTTGCAGCTGCGACCCCTGCATGTACGCCAGTGGATCCATCACTACCTTTAGTATAAGATCCTTCAGCCATATACATGCACCTTGGGTCAGACTGTCTCTCAGGTCTTCCCGGCTTCACATTCTGCACAGAAGCATGGAAAACCATAGAGACTAACTGTTGTCCTTTAACACAGACATGAAATCTGACATTATAAAATTGCCACCATAATGTGTTTGTATTCCAGGTGTATTTAAAGAAAATTAAGAAAAACAACAAGGATGAACAGGATTTAAAATGGTCAGATTTAATTAATAAAAATGAAATAATCTTAACCAAATCACTCTTTACCCAACAGAATACAGGAAAAATCAAAACCAAACACTGCCAAGCTAAATAAATGAACATGAACCAGATAAAGATTCCTGGCGTTTACAGGTACAGGCGGGGAAATAACCCAAATCAAATTATTATTATAGAGGACAATCTTATTGCCCTAATATTTACAGCTATTCACAAAATAAATTAAAATCGGAAAAAGAAGTTTAAAATTTTTTTTTTTATCTTCAAAAAAACACCAAAACAAGTATTAAATTGTGAGCTAAACGGCAGGAAGAGTTTTAATAAAATATACTATTTATCACAGCACTGCTCAAATGACTTCTAAGAACTATCCCATCTCTGGCTGCAGATCTCCATGACAAGTGCAATAATATACATCCAGCTGCAGTGGATTCACGATGAAGTCTCAGACCAGGTTATATCAATTCTCAGCCCGACACTCATTCTCCTGTTTAATCAATGAAATGCTTTGTTATTTAAGATTCAATGCGGTGGGAAATTTGTGAATTTATAGATAATATAATTTATTGTCATCTGTAATCTACACTGCTGTATTTAAACTCTATACTGAAACTGGGTGCTTCCACCTTGGATCCCTGTCAATTATTGCCAGAAGCTGACCCGGTGCAAAGAACCTGGTAGTCAGTAAAATTAAATGAAACATTGTTTTTAGTTCTCCAGATCATTGCATTTCTTGCCCTGTTTGCCTTGTCTGAACTGGATTATGGTAGAATTTGGTAAATATATGATTTACATAAAAAGCACCCCATGAATAAAAGGTTAGCACATTAACACAAGTCACAGGCGATTTTAATGGTTTTACTCAATGTTGTAAATTCCATAGAAGTGAAAGTTGCCCTTTAAAAACACCCTGCTTGCCCACTTGTCAGCTAAAACCATTTACAGTGTATGTAGATCAGGTCAATCTAGCGTGTTTCCCCCCTCCAATTCACTTGATTCTCTGCAAGCCACAGATTGGGAGTGTGATCTAAAAACAGATCAATGGTTTTTACTCCTAATGCAGATCTCCAGCACAGCAGTTGGATACGATGTAAATATAAAAAGCACTTGTTACAGTTTACTATAAAAAAAAATCAAAAAAATAAGCAAATATTGCATCAAAGAAAGAATTACAGACTGAAGAAAGTAAAAAGGTTATAAATAAATCATTTTCACAGGAACAACATAATGTTCTATCCCTCTGAGTGTTACAGTAGGGAAGAGCACAGATTCTGTGAGATAAACAGACGTAACTAATTGTGCACAGAACTTTATATAGAACATGTAAAATCATCACTGGGAATGATACCCGGTTTAACAGGTATGAGAAAACCAGTTCGTGTTGCTTATGAATTAGCCCAAGTTTGTGTAAATTGGGCGGTGCACACAAACATCAGAGATGTGATCTGCCTAATTTGATGACAATGCTGCAAAAACTAATGTAAATGTGGTGTTACCTCCTAAGCAGCTGAAGAAAGGCAATAGGTGAGGGGAGGTGAGTGCATTGTTAATAGCCTTTTGGCAACAAAACCAATACGTTATAGTGCTTTGAGCGCCACATTGACAGAAAGTGAGCTGATCGCTAAAGCTAGCGGCAGCTCCTGCTTAGGAACATCTGGCTCTGTGGTAGTGGAGACGATGGAGCAGTCGAAGTCAAACCATTCAAGCTGTAATAGTTATGGTGTTCAGCATGTTCCTTAAACCAACAGCATAAATAATGTCAGCTCAGACAATGTGCAAGAATGTAGCTCTCTGAGAGTAGAGTAACCAAAAACTAGAGTGTGTGTACAAATAACATCTACTTTACACACTGGTTGGTGGTTTCGCTAGAGGAAGGCAGAGGGGTTTACCTGTAATTCTTACCTGGGCCTCACTTTGTCTTACTCACCTATCACAAGGTGTATTTTGTTTTATTTGAGGGCAGCTCGTTATCTTCCTAGTGAGAAAGCAAATCAATACTCTTTAACAGAAAATACCTCAACATGGCTTCATGCTAAGAAACGCATTGATTTTTAACTGGGCGCAGTAACATGCTGACATAACCAATGATACATTCTAGGAAAGATAGAGATTGATTAAAAGGTGTTTTTGAAAAACCAAAAGTTTCCACAGAAAAGCAGAGTAAGTCTGTACGTAAACAGCATTATCCCACTGCTGGAATAGTTTAGGGGTGTTGACAAGAGGCAGAGATGAAGACTATTAGTCAGTTCATTCATCTCCCAGTCACATACATTTGTTATAATTTACATATTTACCATCACTTTTTGATTATTCATTGAGAAGCGCAATAAAGTATGTTGACTGGAAATAAACAGCTTACTGTGTCTCAATCTATATTAAAACAGGTCTCGAGAGATGTAATAACCCCCCCTGCCCCTAAAGGGGGGGAGGGAGAGGGAGAAAAAAAAAATACACAACAGGGAATAAAGCCAGTTTCAGAAAAACGACCGCCAATTTCATTTTAATGAAAACCGTGTGGAAATATACTGAGCTGTTATTTAAAGTGTTTAACAATAAACGTGACAGAATGACATCACAACCATCCGAAGGCCATCATTGCCTCGCTGAATTGAAGTCTATTTGTGTATACTCCCCCGATCCTACGCCAATCAAATTGCCGATATACCTGGCTTACTTACTGCTAATCTAAGTGTCAACAGCTGGGCCAAACACATTAGGTCATAAAAAAGGACAGAAAGACATTTCAGAAAAGCTAAGAAAAAAATACAAATATGTTTAAAACACCAGCTGTATTTTCCCCAGAATACAGCATTTTTAAAATTCCAGATTGTTTTCTTCTTCCAGCCAGGTCTAGTCATAAATAGCACAGCTGGTGTAAAACTGCTACAAATGGATCAATCACCAGAGAATCAAATGTAACATTCTAAAGGATTGCTCCAATTATAACGATTTACCCCAGAAGTGTCATATTGAGGGGAGCTCCAATCATTACTGCAGCGTCAGCAAAAGAATATTTCATTTTTGTTAGTCTATCTACTTCAGGGAATGACAACAGGTAACAGCTGCTTGCAGAACTAAATTTCTACGATGTTTCTCAATGTACACCAGGCACAGCCCTTTAGGTAGAGGTAAAGCTAGAGAAACACTAAGCAGTTCACATTAACAGCTTCTCAAGCTCATCAAAAAGTGGCCTTTAAAAAGGTGTTTGAGATCAAAGGTCTTAAAAACAGATCTTGCCAACTTTATTCCTGAACATGGAAAGCCGCAGCAAGATTCAGATCATTCTCAATGCTTATATTCTGTGGAAACTGAAAACCCACCACCACATGCACACACCAAACAAGGTTGGTGCACTATTTCATCATTGGCACCGATCAGTTACAGGGAGTGCAAAGCCAAAAACTATAGCATGTTATTATACCTTACTCCTGAAAAGTGGCTTGGCACCAGGGCCGCAGTACTCATTGTAGATTAGTTTAAACAAAAACAAGTGGAAGAGTGTGATCAGAGAGGCCACGCTAAACCAAAACAAAAAGGGCAGCCCTGGATATTGTTTGGCCATGTGTTCTTCATGGGCCAAGATTTCTTTCAAGTGAAGAGTGTGTTGCAAATCCTGCAAATGCGTCAAGTCAGTGGAGATATACAGCAGAGGTGTGAGTGGCTGGGTTACCAGTACTGGGAAGGTGTGTCCTCGGATTTCGGAGGTCAGTTCCACAGGCTCATGTAAACAGCCAGCTTCACAAGCATAGAGTTTCACCAGCTTGTCTTGGAACTTTACAGACACGTGGAGATAAGGCTTCTCATCCTGATCCAGTTTGACAGCTAGGTTGATAAGGTCTTTGTTATAATGGATTCCACGTAGAGAGTAGCTGTTGTGAAGGACGTGTGGATCGGACTGGAACTGCAGGTGGTTTTCTGTGAACTGAAGGCCTCCGAAGCTCAGCATCATGCCTTGCATGAGTCCATGTGCACCAGCTAACACAAGGCTTTTGCACCCTCGTTTCTGTAACGTCAGTTTCCATAAGTCAAAGAGCTGCACCAGTTGGGCAATGCTGCTCAAATGGCTAGGCCACAAGTTCTCTGCGTGCATGGTAGCATGTCCAGTAAAACAATGGTCTGCATAATTCAGCGTGGCTTCCATCTTATCCCGCTCTTCATTGTTTAGATGTGGATCCACCATGGGTGCTGGAGAACAGGACAGCACATAGTAGAGAGTAGTATTGATTGTGTTACTCGATGGAGTATGAAAATCCTTAATCTTTTTCATTTCAATCCCTAAAGAATGGACAGGAGAGAGAACAATGAAAATATAGGGGAAGGCACACTGACCCATTTCTCCACTGTGTTAAAGATACAAGTAATAAAACAGTATACATTTCTTCACAAAAATACTAATTATCAAGCCACCTTTTTTCTGTTTATAGGAACACTATAGGGTCAGAAACACAAACATGTATTCATGATGGAATTAGGTTAAAAACACAGTTAATGTGGCTTGCCCCTAAGAAAGGGTTAAAAACTTACCTTTCCAGCCCTGCCTCCTATCCACCTCTTGCCGACATCAGCAGAATTGATAATTGGCTGAGATCACAGGATGGGGGCAGGGTCAAACACTGGTCGGGTTAATCAGCATCTCCTCACTTTGAATCAATGCATCTCTATGAGGAAAGTTCAGTGTTTGCATGCAGAGGGTGGAGATACTGAATGTCAGTCACACTGTGCAGCACTGCCTCAGGAAGCACCTCTAGCAGCCATCTGAGGAGTGGCCAGTGACGTTATCACTAGGCTGTAATGTAAACACTGCATTTTCTCTGAAACGAACAGTGTGTACAGCAAACAGCCTGACGGTAATGATTCTACTCAGCAGAACAAATACAATGAGCTGTAGTTGTTCTAGTGACTATAGTGGCAAACTAAGGATTTATGTTTTTAGTAAACCTGGATTTCAATAGCTTTCTGAACCCTGCTAGTCAAAACCTACCAGACTGGACTGGAAAAGGCTTGTTTAAATTATCCTTTCCCTAGATCACTGTTACCAGGGTCCCTTTTACAAACAGCTATTTACTGGTTCACTCAAAAAATATCAAGTATCTGGAAATACAGCTACAGAAATCTCTAGATCAAAAACAATGCAATAAGCTGCAAACATAGGATCTCTTTGGAGAGAAGACCTTAATAATATTCCTCCAAATTCTGACCCAACCAACCAATCATTCTATAACTATAGATAATCACTCAAAGGCAACAAAAACACTCTGCAGTTTGTACACTACGTAGAAATTGGTACCAGAATTTAATATACCGTATATGTCGACCCGAATATAGGTCGAGGCCCCTAATTTTACCCCCCAAAAATGGGAAAACTTATTGATTCGAGTATAAGCCTAGGGTGGGAAATGCAGCAGCTACTGGTAAATTTCTAAATAAAATTAGATCCCCCAAAAATTATATTAATTGAATATTTATTTACAGTGTGTGTATATAATGGATGCAGAGTGTGTTTGTGTGTATGTGATGCAGTGTGTAACCTTGGTGGGGGAGGGCATTTTTATTATTTATTTTTTTTTTTTTTATATTATTAAATTTTTATTTTATTACAATATTATTTACATTTTTAGTTTATTTTTTTCGTCCCTCCTCCCTGCTTGATACAGGGAGGGGGGCTATATTATTCCCTGGTGGTCCAGTGGATGGGCTGTGCAGGAGGGGGGCTGGGAGAAAGCTGTTACTTACCTTTACAGCAGCTCCCTTCTCCTCCGTGCCGTTCAGCTCCAGTGTAAATCTCGCAGGTCTGCGTGCCGCGGAAACCCGTGGCAACGCTCTGACGGCCGCGACTCTCGTGAGATTTACACTGGAGCTGAACGGAGGTGAAGGGAGCTGCTACAAAGGTAAGTAACAGCTTGCTCCCAGCCCCCAACAGGACCGCCGGGCTTGTAATGAGCCCGGCAGTCCTGGTCTGTATTTTGGCAATGTAAGTTGCCATAATACAGACACTGACTCGAGTATAAGACAAGTGGTGCTTTTTCAGCACAAAAAATGTGCCAAAAAACTCGTCTTATACTCAAGTATATACGGTACATCACAATAGTATACGAAGTGGTCTGGGTGCCAGATCCCCCAGATTTTAACCCTGCAGCTGTAAACATAGCAGTTTCAGAGAAACTGCTATGTCTACATTGCAGGGTTAATCTGGCCTCTAGTGGCTGTCTTCCTGACAGCCGCTAGAGGCGCTTCCGCGACGCTTAATTAAAAAAAAAAAAAAAAATTAATAAATTTGCATTGAGCACGCATTGAGTAATGCTTTCCTATAGGCGGTTGGAATTAGTGCGTATTCGGCTCCACTCGGGAGCTGACGTCAGAAGAGGAGGAGATGTCACCAGTGCCGAAGGAGCCCGGCGCTGGATTAAGGTAAGTGGCTGAAGGGGTTTCAACCCCTTCAGCCCAGCAGGAAGGGGGCCTAATAACCCCATACTGCCAGGAAAACGAGTTTGCTTTCCTGGCACTGCAGTGGTCCTTTAAACAGCTCAGTACAACATCCAAAGAGAAATCAGTATTCTTTCTCCCACAACATAAATTTATCATGATGATAAAAAAAAAAAAAAAAAAAGTATCCAGTGTACACTGGGTTGATACAGTGCCTGTTCAGTAGATTTGTTGAGCATGTATATACCACAAATATATTTACTACAAAATACACGTACTTGTGGAAATGCAGAGGGAACAGTGATTGCAGCCTCAAAAGCAGTTTACTCTTACAACAACAATAAAAAAGTGAATTATTAACCCCTTAAGGACTGAGTCAAATGTACACGTTTTGATCAAAATAAAAAGGTAAACAAAACCTGGAATTTGACTATTTGTCTGTTCAACCGTAATTCACCTCTTTCATATTAAAGTGCATGCACACTTATTATATATCATTTTATTCAGGGTTCTGCATTACATTTTAACTGTGAATGTCATAATACTGTTTGCTTTTACTGCAATAAAATACACACATTTGTATACAGCGACGTCTCACATGTAAAACAGTACCCTCTATGTACAGTTTTTATGGTGCTTTGGGAAGTTACAGGGTCAAAAATAGCATGTAAAAAATTTCTGTTTTTTCACATTGAATTTCGCCCGATTGGTTACGTTTGAGTCCATATGGTAGCCCAGGAATGAAAATTACCCCCATGATGGCATACCGTTTGCAATAGTAGACAACCCAAGGTATTGCAAATGGGGTATGTCCAGTCTTTTTTAGAAGCCACTTAGTCACAAACACTGGCCAAATTTAGCGTTAAAGGGACACTATAGTCACCTGAACAACTTTAGCTTAATGAAGCAGTTTTGGTGTATAGAACATGCCCCTGCAGTCTCACTGCTCAATCCTCTGCCATTTAGGAGTTAAATCCCTTTGTTTATGAACCCTAGTCACACCTCCCTGCATGTGACTTGCACAGCCTTTCATAAACACTTCCTGTAAAGAGAGCCCTATTTAGGCTTTCTTTATTGCAAGTTCTGTTTAAGATTTTCTTATCCCCTGCTATGTTAATAGCTTGCTAGACCCTGCAAGAGCCTCCTGTATGTGATTAACCCCTTAGGGACACATGACTTGTCATGATTCCCTTTCATTCCAGAAGTTTGGTCCTTAAGGGGGTTAAAGTTCAATTCAGAGATTGAGATACAATTATTTAAGGTAAATTACATCTGTTTGAAAGTGAAACCAGTTTTATTTTCATGCAGGCTCTGTCAATCATAGCCAGGGGAGGTGTGGCTAGGGCTGCATAAACAGAAACAAAGTGATTTAACTCCTAAATCACAGTGAATTGAGCAGTGAAATTGCAGGGGAATGATCTATACACTAAAACTGCTTTATTTAGCTAAAGTAATTTAGGTGACTATAGTGTTCCTTTAATATTGGTTTGTGTGTGAAAAATGCAAAAAACTAATTTGAATGCCAATTTTGGTCAGTGTTTGTGACTGAGTGGCTACTAAAATAGACTGGACATACCCCATTTGCAATACCTTGGGTTGTCTACTATTGCAAATTGTATGCCATCATTAGGGTTATTCTCAATCCTGGGTTACCATACGGTCTCAAAGGCAACATAACCAATCTGGCGAATTTCAATGTGAAAAAAAATGAAACACAAGCCTTATATTTGACTAACTTTTGAAAACACCATAAAAACTGTACACGGGGGGTACTGTTACTCGGGAGAATTTGCTGAACACAAATATTAGTGTTTCAAAACCGGAAAACGTATCACAACAATATCATCAGTGTAAGTGTCGTTTGTATGTGAAAAATGCAAAAATAAAGTTACTTTCCCTGATATCATCGTTGTAATACATTTTACGGTTTTGAAACACTAATATTTGTGTTCAGCGAAGTCTCCCGAGTAAAACAGTACCCCTCAAGTACAGGTTTGTCTTGGAAAGTTACAGGGCTAAATATAGTGCTAGCAAATTAAATTATCTGGACTTTCTACCTGGGTTATCAGGCAGGTCCCGCAAATTGTAATTAATAAAAAATTTTGGTTAAACAGAAGTCATTGTAAGTTGCATTTTCAATTAAATTTGGAGAAACCGCTTTAAGAATTTGTTGTGCTGAGATATTTCAATTGTGTTTGTTTGATTTGTTCATTGCAGCTGAAAGTCTGCAAATTTTAAAAATAAACCTGATTTTTAATGGGGTTTGAATAATTTTGATTACAACTGTGTATGTGTATATATAAATATGCATATACACATACATAACAGATGGAAATGTTAATAGATGCATTTAGATATCTATGTAATATAGAATGCACACTATAACCACTTCGAATAGTCAAAAGTATAACTTTAATCTGTACAAAAAGTACTACAGTGACAAAAATACCGAAAAAATATAAACACAATGACAGAAACAAGGGCAAATACAATAATGCAATCCTACAAAGTCAAAAGAATTGACACGAGTCACCAAACCCCCAACATTTCGGCACCAACCGGCTGCCTTTATCAAGGGTACCCTTGATAAAGGCAGCCGGTTGGTGACTCGTGTCTCTGTCCTAAGGCTGGTTTCTTGACTTTGTAGGATTGCATTATTGTATTTGCCCTTGTTTCTGTCATTGTGTTTATTTATATTTTTTCTTTATTTTTTTTCACTGTAGTACTTTTTGTACAGAATAAAGTTATACTTTTGACTATTCGTAGTGGTTATAGTGTGCATTCTATATTACATAGATATTTGGATACTTGTAACATTTTAGGGAGTGTTTGTATAGTTTGCATCTAGCTATTTGATATACTTTGTCTCTCTGTGTGTTTTTGGTTTGTGAATAGATGCATTTAGATAAACACCAATAATCGTGTAACATGATCAGCAAAGCTATAGTAAAAAAACATTCTTGCTGAAATTAATTCTTCAGGGTCAGCATTGTGAAAATACTCTAAATATTTTCACATTACATTGGATATGTTAAAGGACCACTCTAGGCACCCAGACCAGTGCCAGGTCCCTCTAGGATTAACCCTTTTCTTTTTTTATAAACATAGCAGTTTCAGAGAAACTGCTATGTTTATAAATGGGTTAATCCAGCCTCTAAAGCCTCTAGTGGCTGTCTCATTGACAGCCGCTAGAGGCGTTTGCGTGCTTCTCACTGTGAAAATAACAGTGAGAAGATGCAAGCGTCCACAGGAAAGCATTATGAATGCTTTCCTATGAGACAGGCTGAATGCGCGCGCGCGCGCGCAGCTCCTGCCGTGCATGCGCGTTCAGCCGGAGAGGAGGATCGGAGGCGGAGGAGAGCTCCCCGCCCGGCGCTGGAAAAAGGTAAGATTTAACCCTTTCCTCTCCCCAGAGCCCGGCAGAAGGGGGACCCTGAGGGTGGGGGCACGCTCAGGGCACTATAGTGCCAGGTAAACGAGTATGTTTTTCTGGCACTATAGTGGTCCTTTAAACACAAAATGTTATAAATTATACATGTTTAAATTACCTGATACAAACAAATCAGACCAAATCTGTTGATGCTCAAGAAGTAAATCTTCTGTTCTCATTAGCATAACCTCCAGCAAATCTTTCTTGGCAGATTCTCTGAGCTTACTGAATGTGTCGTCCACCTTCCCAGAGTCAATCGGCTCAGACGTGTAAACAACAGACAGGGCCGTCTCATCAAATTCAGATTTTGGGCTGACTTGAACTCTGCTAACAAGTTTTTTGGAAGCAACCACAACAAGGACATTTTTTCCATCTTCAACTGACACTCTGCCAGAGGAAAGCAGTAATTGTCTGTCATGGACTTTCTCTACACTGGTGGAGAATTTAACTCCATTTAGTGATTTCTGGGTAGTGATGTCAAAAGCCGTGACTCTGTCACTTGGATTTGAGATGTGGATTCGCTGAACATAAATATGAGACCTTTTGCGATGAGCAAAGTGGTCCTCGCGAACAGTGATACAATCACGAGCAGAGTCTGATAAATCCAGTTGAAGACATCGAATAGTGCGTATCAACCCCTCTTTTAGTATAACTGCAGTAGCATGAACTTCTGTAAATGCCCCTGAGCTTTTAATAGAGGTCACAGGAGAATAATCAGTTAAGTGAAATGGTACGGTCATCGAAGACACCCAAAGATTGTTTTTGCCAATATCAACAAGGATAAATCCATTGCCGACCATTGTAGGGCCTTGTAGTTTGGTCTCTTCTCCAGGAAAAGATGCCATTACCAGATCGCCTCTCTCTGCCAGTGTTCTCCATTGCTTGGTGTACACCTGCAAACAAGTTCCAGAGGCTCCTCTTGGCTGTCCTGAATACCATAGGGATCTATATATGGATCCAGAGGAGAAATACCAGTATACAATTAGCAGGAACCCCAAGACAGCAAGAATGCGTCGTGCCCAGCTGCTTGAGAGAAGTCCTGGAAAATATTTAAGCCTCTGCTGAAGCCACATTTGGATGGTTAATTACAGGCGTTTAGAAGGTTTTGTCAATATATGTATTCCAGAAAAACTCAGAACACAAGTTCAGTTGTCCACTCCATCAGACGCAGGAACGCATTTCCTAAAATGAATGTAGGTAGTAATTGTGAACATATTAAAATGCATATTATGTTGGGGTAGGATTTTGCTCAATGTGCAAATTACCAAGATTCCAGTTACATTAAAATGTGTAGGGACAAGCGCAGACGTTACATATCCTGGAATAAAGGCCAGCCAAAGCACTCTGTCACTTCGTTATCTTAAATCCATTCTTTCACTTTGTTCTGCACAAATTTCCTATAAATAAATTAAAACAGTTTTCAAACACAGTGAGCTCCCTCTCATCTCCCTTGAGAGACTAGCTTGTAGTCTCTTCCTAAAAAGTAAAACCAAGCAAACATTGTCTTACATGATCCCTAAATAAAGGGTAAGCAAGATTCCTCCTTCTACTCTCTAATATCACAGACTTATCCTAAATCCCTCCACTCACCAGACTTTAATTCTCATTCCAACATAATTAGAGACACTTCACCCTACCTCCACTCACTGGACACCCAGTCTCACTCCCTCTGCACCCCGCTCAGTCTCCTCCCCCCTGCACTCAGTCTCACTCCCCTGCGCCCCCCCTCAGTCCTCACTCCCCCTGCACTCAGTCTCCTCCTCCCCCCACTCAGGTCTCCTCCCCCTTGCACTCAGGTCTCACTCCCCTTGCACTCGGTCTCACTCCCCTTGCACTCAGCAGGTCTCACTCCCCCTTGCGCTCAGGTCTCACTCCCCCTTGCACTCAGGTCTCCTCCCCTTGCACTCGGTCTCACTCCCCTTGCCTCAGGTCTCCACTCCCAGCACTCAGGTCTCCTCCCCTGCACCCCCCTCCTCACTCCCCAGCACCCCCCTCAGTCCTCACTCCCCTGCACTCCAGTCTCACTCCCCTGCACTCAGTCTCCTCCCCTGCACTCCAGTCTCACTCCCCTGCTCAGTCTCCTCCCCTTGCACTCAGGTCTCACTCCCCTGCACCCCCCTCAGTCCTCACTCCTCCCCCCCACCCCCCGCCTCGGGTCTCCTCCCCACTCAGATCTCACTCCCCCCCCGCACTCAGGTCTCACTCACTCGGGTCTCACTCACTCGGGTCTCACTCACTCAGGTCTCTCTCTCACTCAGGTCTCTCTCTCACTCTGGGCTCACTCACTCAGATCTCGCGCTGTTTCCTCTGACTGAACTCTATCACTTTCTGTCACATTACCCGGAAGTGAGTCAAGAAGTATCTGCTGTACGGCAACAGTCGCAAAAACGTCAGAACGTGCAGCAGCCGTAGAGCAAGGAGCCAAGGTCACATGACTCGGTCAGCAGACTGGAGCGCAGTGTTCGCGATCAGATCCAGCCAATCAGCAAAACATTCCGTCACACAGACAGCCAATCAGCTCATCGTTCAAACAGTAAATTAGCCAATCAGCTTGTCACACAGACAGCCAATCAGCTCATCGTGCAAACAGTAAATTAGCCAATCAGCTTATCAGCTTGCTAGTCAGACAGCAAGGCAGCCAATCAGACAGTAGTACGGTTTCCATGGTTATTCATTAAAGTGAAAACTCAATTTATCCAATTCGGCTACTTTGGCCTTAAATGTGAAATTCGCTTAGAATTCTCTACAGTTCGCCCTTTAGTAAATATCCCTCCCTCACAGTAACTCACTAAACCTGAATTGTAGAAAATTAATATTATATTATTATTATTTTATTATTCTATTATTCTATTATTACTATAGTATTATAATCCTTATATTATTATTACTATTACATTATTATTATCATTATATTATTATTATTACATTATTTTATTATTATTTATATTATTATATTATTATTATAGTAGTAGTATTATTATTACATTATTATTATTATTATATTATCCTTATATTATTATTATTACATTATTATTACTACACTATTATTATTATTATTATTGTATTATCATATTTATTATTATTACATTATTATTATTATATTATTATCCTTATATTATTATTATTATTATTACATTATTATTATTATTATTATATTATTATCCTTATATTATTATTATTACATTATTATTACTACACTATTATTATTATTATTATTGTATTATCATATTTATTATTATTACATTATTATTATTATATTATTATCCTTATATTATTATTATTATTATTACATTATTATTA